TATTTAGTATATAATATAATTATATATTATATATTATATATTATATATTATATATTATATATTATATATTATATATTATATATTATAAATTATATGTTATATATAATATATAATATATAATATATAATATATTATATATTATATATTATATATTATATATTATTATATCTCATATATTATATAACTATATCAAATTTCATATATCAATAGAATTGCATTACAAAATATTTTAGTATTTTATATTATAGCAATTCTATCTGTATATTTACTCAGCTTCCATACGTCATATTTATCCTACATTTAATTTCTGTTTAGTAACTGTTTATAATTTTATTCTTATATTTTAAATTTTCATATTTTATATTTATTATATACATTTTATTTATATATTTTTATTTGTTTTTATATATACACACTTCCCCATATACACACAGGGTACAGGGACAGCCCTGTCCTTCTGACCAGGCCATACACAGGGTGTTGGCAATCCTTCATTCCAACCAGTTGCCTTAAAAGAAATAAAATAAAATAATAATAATAAAAAAACAAACAAAAAAAAAAACCCAAACAAAAAACCAAACAAACAAAAAAAAACAAAACCAAAAAAACTTATATAAATTATGAACAAAAAATGGGAAGCAGTGCTGGAGGAAGCCTGGGCAGCAGCTCCTGGAAGAAAAAAACAACCTTGGGGAGCTTGGAATTCTCCCTGTCCCCACCTGAAGGACCAACTCCCAGCTCTGCTTTCCCTGCTTTGATTGATTTTCCCCCTTTTCCTGCCCCTTCCCAGCCCTCTCTGTCTGGAAATGTCAGTGGGATCTTGGAGCACCTCTTAACCTTCAGCAGGGCCGGGGCTGCAGGAAAAGCAGGAGGGGGAGATGCTCTCAGTGCTCAAGGAGGAGAGGGAGACAAATCGATTCCTGCTACTAAATTTAGCCTCAAATATCAAGTTTAAAAATAAACTTCCTGGAAACTTGGTGGTTTGAGGGTTTATTCTAAAGGTTTGGGCTGCCAGCTCACTCCCTGCTCTGTTGTCCCGTCGCTGGGACACTTAGAGGATGCTTCACTTCAGAAGATGCTCAAATCAGGGAGGAAAATCTTATTAAATATCTGAAAAATCTCAGGAGACCCCACCTGGAGGGCCCTTTGGTGTGTAAGACCCTCACCACAGTGGCAATGCCCTAAATAACTCCCAAAACTTTTTAACCTCTTTGGGATTGTAGGCAGGGAGGATTTTTGACAAAACCACTTCATCTGCTCACACCATAGAGCCCAAATTTGTGCTGATTTTTGATGCTTCTTGTCTGAGACAATGAAACCAGACATTGATACTGTATAGGGAGAAAAATGTGAGAAAAATTTCCTTTGCACATCCTTTATTAAAGACCTGTCTGAGTCTGTTCTGCCCCCAGGACTGAGGGGTTTGAGGGCAGTGAAAGCTGACAAGATTTCACAGCAGTTTTTTGGTGCAATCTCACTTCACTCTCAGGCTTGCAGCCACCCCAGCAGAATCAACAGCCTGTACCCAATTGCTTTGAAATTAACTTAAACCAAGCAGATAAAACACTCCAGTAATTTCATTGCAATTTGGCTCTGCTGATTGTTGAGGAGCATCCCAACGGCGGCTCTTGCTGGAGGGTGTCCAGCGTGAGCTCCTCCAGCAGCTGACCACAATGTGCCACTTTCCTTTGGCTCCTCCACCCTCTGGACCACCCAGGACCCCACAAGGATTTTTTTTTCAGCTCTAAATTTTTGCAGCATTCCCAGTGTTGCTCCTCTCTGAACATCACAAGCTGCTGGAGTTCGCAGAGACATCTGGGCGTTGCCTACCTTGGGTCAAAATCTTTGGAAGAAAAACTTGTTTGGACCTAAAGGAGAACTTTTTAAATGCTGGATTTTACTCAAAGCCCTCAGCTTAGCTGTGGCTGCAGGTGATTTCTCAGTGGAGGCAGCAGCTGCTCACACCAGATCCCTGTTGGATTGTTTTCCACCAGATCCTTGCTCCAGGTCCAGCTGGCTGCAAAGATGATGAGAAAGTCTCCTGAAAACTCCTTGCAGAAGAGGTTGTTCCTGTTGGGGGGGTGGATGAAGAAACCAGATACCAAAGAAGCTTTGGGTGAAAGGAGAAGAGGATCCTGCAGCTCTGATGGATGGAGTGGCTGCTGTTGGAATTTCTGGATGCTGGAGAGGCATGCAGCAGTGCCTGTGGGCAAACAGCTCTTCCTGCCTGAGCTCAGCCAGGCTAAGCTGCCTGCTTTAACCCAAATTCCAGGAAAACCATGTGGGAACCAAATGTCCATAGCTTTTGGGGAACAGTAGGAAAGAGGGATTTTGACACTCAGGTTTGCAGTGAGCACAGGAGACGGGGTTGGAGTTTTGTCCTTCTGAGGGATAGAAGCAAAGATTAAATGAGATGTACAATCCTGGGAGAGGGGAGGAAACCCTGGCAGGTCCCATCTTCTGGAAGGTGATTGTGAATGTTACAAATCCCCTTTAAAATTTTGGCAGGACTCAAACCCCCTCCTCCACTCCTCCTCCTGTTTTTAACCATTATTTCAGCACCTTTCCCTCTGAGATTCTTTCTGTTTTCCCAAACCTTTTCTCTCATTGGAGCAGTCAGCCAGACTCTGCCTGATACATTTCTATCCCAGAAACCCATGGAAACCCTTCCCCAAATTCCCTTTGGGACAAGCACCCACCCTGTGACTCCATGGCCACCTCACACTGCATAAAACCAGCAGAAGGGGCAGAGGGACCAGGTCTCTTTATTTATTTTTCCTGTGGACAAAATGATAATAATAATAAATAAAATTCTAATTGGTACCCGTAGCACAGAAGCAGCAGCCTTGATCATCAGTCTTGTGGCTTAATGAAACACAGCAGCAATTCCCAGTTCTCTCCCAGTGATCCCCAGCCAACAGCTCTGTTTGGTTTCCACGGGAGCAGCCAAGGGCCCCTGGAGATATCTGACATGGAAAACTTAAAGAAAACTCACAAGTGTCTTTTATAAAATGCACATTTTGGGCTGTAACAAACTGGGCTTGTGGCTGAACAGCTCCAAAGCTTCTGCTCCAAACATGGGGAACGGATTCCCTGTGGAAGCGTTCACACCATCCTTGTTTTTATCCTTCCCAGGATCTTCCTAAGGTCCAGCTCGAGGTTCTGAAGTGGGGATGGGGAGGATGGTGCTGCTGAGGGAGGGTGAGGAGCTCAGGAAACACCTGAGATTTACTCGTTCCTCAAGGAGCAGAGCAGGCACCCAGAGCCTTGTGCTGGAGTCAGAGGTGGGGAAAGCACTGACCCAGGGATGGACAGATGGACAGAAAGGCAAGAGGAGCTGCAGTGTGAGCCCCAAAGGTTGGTGACCACCCACAAGGGGCTCCTGGAGGAGAAGGAACATTCCCAGCTTTTTGGTTTCTCTTAATTCTGCACCGGGCAGAGAGGAAAAACCATGGGAGGTTTTTCCCCATTTTCAGGAGATCAGGGCACAGCTCCTGCCACACAAGGTTGTTCCCTTCCTCACCCTGGTGACAATGCCACAGCCAGACCCCACCCTGGGCACCCACACCACGGATCCAACCTTTTCTCCCAACATCCCACCAGGGAATGAGGCAGGACAGTTCTTCCCTTCAGGGCTGAGCAGGGAAGGATGGAGAGCCCACCACAACAGGGCTGCTGCAGAGGAGAAAAGGGTCGGTTCAAAGAAAAATCTCACTGCCAGACCAAAAGGAAAGGTTTCAGTATATTTTAATAGTAAAATGATTCTTATTTTTTTTCAAGCAATGTCCCACCTGGATGAGTCTCAGCAGGAATTTTGCATCCCGGTCCTGCTGTACCGGGGCAAAGCCTCGCAGGTCGTGGCTGTACCTGTGCAGAACGGTCCCCAAAAACTCACAGCGTGCTGCCACCACCACCAAACACCTCCCAGGCAACCACCACCATGGCACAGGACCCTGCTCAGGCTCTCAGGAGAAGAGCAGGAGTTAAAAATTAGCTTTTAGTAACAGTCTGGGTTAAGATTTGGAGCAGGCTACGGACCAGAGGAGAGGCCAAGGTTTGATTTAGTAAAAAGGAGCAGAACACCTTACAGTGACTGAGTGGGCAGGGAGGGGTGAGGTCAGAGCACAGCCCTTGCTGGGGTTGGGTTTGGGATGGGGAAAACGACGGGGGGACTGAAGGGGAAGCAGCTTCAGACTCGAACTCTGGCTCCAACAGAATGGATTCAGAAAAATATTGCATGAAAAGCCTCAGGGTTTTCGTTCTTTCATAGATGTATATTTACCAGTTTTCACAAAGACTGCAGGAATACGATTATAAACAATAAATTAGGACTTCATGTTGCTATCATTTGGCATAACACAATCAGGCAATTTTTCCTTTTTTTTAAATATAAGGCAACACAAGCCAACACATAATTTAATCCGTCTTTAGTCAAATTGCTTAACTTTGCTCAGGAGTTACCACTAAAGAACGGGTTATAGTACACTTAAAAGAATTTAAATAATGACATGATATAAGTGTACTAACTTACAAGGAGTCAGAAATGTACTCTGCTAAGCTTTGAAACCTAAATATTTGTTACAGCCCAGGACTACACATTCTAAATTAAAAAAATACAAATAAATGTTTTCTAATTTTCCCATTTACGAAAAACTTTTAAGAATCTCTAGCCAACTATGACGTCACTTCAAAACTTTTTTTTAAATTTTTTTTTTAAATTTTGTATGATGTCTTTAAGATTTTTTTTTTTTTAAACCATGCTCATTAAGGAAAGTTCAAGGAGCAAATACTTAAGGCTTTGTTTTTCCAAGGGCTGTGAGGGAGGCCAGTGGATGGCAGAGGCCAGTGGGTTCACCCATACACAATGCTACTCAAACCCACACTACCAGGCGACATTCATACAGAAATATTACACTTAAAAGTTACAGTGTAGAGCATAACTTTTTTAGCCAGTGTACATAGAAAGAATCAATGCATTTATTTTTTTAAACTTTTTCTTCTTCTTCTTTTTTTTTCTTTTTTTTCCTTTTTTTTTTTAATTTCCAAACTTGATTGTGATCATTATGTTCAAGTATTAGTCTCGTTAACAGAGATAAGGAATTTTCTACTTACAATAAATTCTGCTGTTAGAAAGGAAAGGGATGTTTTGGTACACAGAGGAGAACAAGATGCTGAGGTTACCCAGTAGTTAGTGTCCTACAGTCACTGACTCAACTGGCTGCTGGAAGTGACGTGGGGAAGGAACAGAAGGAGTTAGGCACCGAGACCCTGGGAAAAAGGGATGTTATAAATAGCTTCACTAATTCCCAGGGAGAAGAATTGTTCCATTAAATCCGCTGGGGTGTTTTGATGGAGAGGAACAGGGCACTGTCAATCCCACAGTGGCTTGTGAGAGGAGCTTTGATTGAGACCAACCAACTCCCACCCCACAGCGCTCGCTGCACCGGGGACGGGCTGAGCTGCATCTCCTCGCCCTGACAGGAATTCCAGCTTCCAGAGAAGTGGCTGAACCCTTTTTGGAGTTGTCAGTGGGTCTGGATTCCCTTCACACGAGGCTGGCCAGACTCCTAGCAGCGAGGGATTCAGACAACACGAGCTTTGAGGCTGGTGGAAGGGCACCGGGGAGGGGGAACACGAAGAAGAGGCAGCTCCCCGTGGCTGCCTTCATCCCAGACCCGCCGTTCCCCTCCTCATACCCTGTCCAGAAAACACAAAGTGTCAGAAAAATCTGCCAGAGACTTTTGACTTTGGACAAAGTCTAAATCATAAACGTGGGCAAGAAAGAGCTGAAAAGCTTCTCCCTCTATTAAAGCCTAAATACACACCCCTAGCTGGCTCTTTTCAAATGTAGGCTCTTTTTCAATTACACAGGCCTCTAGACAGTGCAAATGGTCAATGTTTAATGCATTAATGAAATGGGCTTTTGAGCTGAAAACAAGCCCTACTCCCTGACAAAATTCTGTTGCTCTTAATCTTGTGAGGAAATTGAGATGGAAATGGAAGCAGCTACACTACCTCGCCCTCGCTGGAGCACAGATGTGGCTGCAAAACCCTGCAGCAACTCAACCTCAGTCCAGCGAGGAGCTGCTCAGCAGAAGGCAAAAAAAAAAGAAAAAAAAAAAAGCCGCACAAAGGGGGACTCTGCTGCGAGGAAACAGCTGTGGCGTGAAGTAGTGTAATGAAATTCTTTGACACAAAAGGCATGTTAAATATTTGATGCATAAAGGAGAGAGATAACATGTAAGCAAAGCTCTTTAAATATACAGTATGTCTTCTTCCAATGGGTACTATAATGATCACACAAGTTTGCAAGTTAAAAACGCCTTGCTTATTAATTAAAATTAAGACTAAAACCTATAATTTTTTTTTTTTTTTTTGTCTGTGAAAGTGACTGCAGCCTATCTATACCCTGGGTGTTGAATATGAAGATTTCGACTATCGGTTGGTTCAGGTGCTCGGTTCATGGGAGGCCGATGGACTTTTCCCAGCACGGCCATGCTCTGGTCTCGGAAGCAGGACTGCTGGAAGTCCCCACTTAGGTAATCCATGGTCTGCATCACATTATTCTGGCTGGATGGGCCAGCTCCAGCTCTGTAATGAGTTCCTCCTGCACAATCCAGCGTCGCTCCCGCTGGCTGTCCCCCATGGAAAGGCATGGTGAGGTCCTGGGACCCAGAGCTGTCACTGTTGGGCGTGGGCAGAATGTTATTCCAGAGGGGCTGGAAATAGTGCCCATTGGTATATGGCAAAGGTCCCTGCAACCCGTTCACAGGAGGAGAAGGCGTAGGCTTCTCGATGGGGGGCTTCAAGCTGAAGGACTGGCCCATGCACAGTTCTTGAGGGTAGTTGGAGGTTTTGCCAGGGAAACTCTGCCCTGCAATCTCTCTCTGAGGGTGCTTCCCTGCGAGTCCAGCAGGCCCAGCAGCATCCCCACACATTTGCTGCAGATGTGCAAGCTGGTGCTGGTTCCACGCAACCGATTTGATTTCGTTCTGGTAGGCGGGTGGCACCCTGTTAATATTGACCATGGGCACATTAACAGAGGCAGGAGGAATAGCAGCAGCAGCATGGTCGACAGGGTTTACTACACAGGAAGGCATGGGTGTAGGGACATTGTGAGTAGATACCCTGGTACTTGCATTGATAAGCAGGTTGCGACTTATAGGGCTGGGGTTTGCGATCTGTCCCTCACACACTGAGGTAGTGCTAATGCCAGCTCTGGCCTGGCAGAACTGGTTAATCTGGTGCACAATGCTGCTCAGGTCCGGTGCCTGGTTCTGCTGCAGGGTGGCAGCCATAGAGAGGGGAATGGTTGAGGTAGACACGGTCACATTCGGCGGCGCGTCTGCGTCCGGCATCTTTCTGCCTCCGTGCAAACCCGGCTGCAGCAGCGGGTTGGGGGCGTGCTGCAGGCTCTGGTGTGCCATGGGCTGAGGGTGCTGCAAGCCCTGCGGCTGCTGCTGCTGCTGCTGCTGCAGGTTCTGCGGGTGCGGCAGCGCCTGCGGGATCCCCTGAGGGTGCGGTAAGCTGGGTGCCTGTGGAATACCCTGAGGGTGCTGCGGGATGCTCTGGGGGTGCGGCAAAGTCTGTGCATGCTGGAGAGCCTGCTGGCGAGCGAGCGCCTGCGGGTGGGATAAAGTGCTTGGTGCAACGTAGGGCGTGGAGGGGGGGTTCATCATCGCCTCCGGCAGCAGGCGCGCGCGCGTCCCGTCAAAGTCCTTGATGATTCCCTTCGCTGGGGATTTGACTATGGCCAGCAGGCCGGTTTTGGTGGTGGCCTGAGATGGGTAGGGGCTGTACCTCTGGCCCGAAGTATCGAGTCCGTTCACAGTACGGCGTATGTGTTTCCTCTGGGGAACCTTGACGCTGTTCGGAAAGATTTTTATAGTCAGGGGATTGTTGGCGACCTTCTTAGCATAAGCATCCAATTCTGCTGGGGTAGGATACTGTGCAGATCTCATTTTCTGTGTAGTGTCCCCTGTGGAGAAAGGAAATTGGTCAGTTCTGGTGAACAAGGGATCAAGCCCAGGGCAAGACAGTCACACAACAAGGGGAGAAAATCTCCAAGGATTCAAGAAGCAAGGAAACTTCATCCTGCCAGACCAGCGGGTCATGGAGAAGACGCCTCATTCCCTTTATTACCTGGTGACCAACACAAGCTCCAGCTCAGCTTAAGGCAAGACCTGCCCAGGGGAGCAAAACAAAACTATGTTCTCATCACAGTATGTTTGCAGTTGGACAAAAACAGGTAACGTGTTATAAACATGTTATAAACATCAGATTGTCTCCAGCTGAAATATTCCTCACAGCTTGCAGTGGTGGGCTGGTTTTTAGTCTTTTAATTTAAGAAGCCTCCTCATCACTCCTCAACCATTCTCAGTATTTTTACCATGGAATTCCAAATCAGAAAGATATGAATTAAATATGAAGCCCCTGTAATCCTGAGGTGGGAACCATACTATGGTGAGCTGACCCTGGCTGGGCACCTGGTGCCCCCAGAGCTGCTCTGTCACTCCCTTCCTCAGCCAGGGCATGGAAGAAGAAACATGGGGTCAGAAAAAGGAAGGGGAGATAGCACTCACCAAAATGGGCAAAACAGCCTTGGGGGAATTAAATTTATTACCAATCCAATCAGAGTAGGGTAAGGAGAAATAAAAATCTCTTCCTTCCATCTCTCCTTCTTCCCAGGCTCAGCTTCACTCCTGACTTTCTCCACCTCCACAGCACAGGGAGATGGACACAGCTGCCTCACCACGGCCTGCATGGGAATCTCTGCTCTGGTGCCTGGAGCACCTTCCCCCCTCCTTCTGCAGTGCCCTGGGGGTCTGTGCAGAGCTGTTCCTCTCACAAATTCTCACTCCTCTCTCCAGCTGCAGTTGTGCAGATTTTTCTCTGTTCTTAAATCAGTTGTTCCAGCAGTGTGTCCGTCCTGGAGCCAGCTGGGATTGGCTCCATCAGACACAGGGGAAGTTTCTGAGCAGTTCCTGCATCCCCCACTACCAAACCCTACACACATCAAAGCTTCAGCTCAAGCCTCCATTTACACCCCACTCCTTTCCTAGGTGCTGACATCTGAAAGCACTGAGTGTCTTTCTGTGCATTAGGAAGCTCTTGTCAGCCCAAACTCGGCAAATGGAAGGAGGCTGATTATTTTATGGCCTGCAATTATTTCCTCAGCTGACTTTTCAAGGTGGCACCTTGCTAAGGACAACATCCCCACATCACATGGCAAAGTGATGTGATTACCTCACAGGATTAAAAACATGCTACTCCCCAGACAGAGACAAAAGCCTTCTGGAGACAGAGGTGTGGTTTCACTCCCTCTGATTTCCCAGATACCTACCTGGCTCACAAGCTCCAACTGCTCCTGCAAAGAACTTCAGAAATCTGGGGAAATGTGTGTGTCTCTTGCCATAATCACATTCCAAGCAGAGAGTTGGGCTGTTTCCCACCACAGCTCTGCTGCTTAACTCCTATGGGACTCCTGCTGATTTTATAATCTTCAAATAATGGCTTGCAGCTTTGACAATCCAATTTAGCTTTTGCTTGATTCCCCCCTCCCACCTCACCTTACAAACAGTTCACTGGAAAAAAATATCCACCCTTTTTCCTAAAATTTTCAGCATCCCTGTGCGATTTGCTGTGCTGAGAGAACAGGGAATGTGGCATCCACCCAAGAATACCCCAGCCCCATATCTGGCCCTCTGACCCAAGGAAATTTAATGCTCCAGCAAAGAGCTTTCTGCTCCCAGGCAAACAGCCCTTCCTCTTGAAAATCCACCTCTGATTCTTTCAAGCAAATTGCCTCAAAAGATGAGTACCAGCCACTTCTCTCTTTGCATCCTGCAGCTTCCTGTTGTCACAGGTGAGGGAGAGCAGCTCTGCTCTAAGAGCTCTCACTTTCAGAAAAGAAAGGTCAGGAAATGGAAAATAGAATGGATACCAGCAGAAAGGTTAATTATGGAAGTATTAAAAACATCTTTTGTGAAATAAGAAGCTTTACAAGCAGTTTGTCTCTCATCTCCAGCACAGCTCGTACCACGGCGCCAGTTATACCTGGGCTCCCTGTGCTGCCCAGACACTGGCACAAATCATCCCTTTCTCTTAATCAAAGGAAATATTAACCCAAACATCTCTCTGTGCACATCCCTGTACCTGTCTCTGCAGGCAGGTGTTTATATCTGCCCTTTTGAGAGAGCTGCTGTGCTCCCAACAGAGAGGAGAGCCTCCGAATGGCATTTGCCAGAATTACCCCGCCTCAAAAGCCAAGGCTTTCATGAACTCCCAACCTTTATTTTTAGCATTGCCCACGCTCATTAAGGTCTGTTTCTTCCCCCAAGACATGACCCTGGCAACCCCTCATGAGCCAGAGAAGAATCAAAGGACAAAGGACCCCATACCTGTCTGTGTTATGGTTTATGTTATGCTTGCAGACACTGTCACATTCTATTTTCAGATGAAAAATCAAGGAGATAATTTAAGACACCTTTGCCATCAAAATTTCCCAGCCTGGTTTACATTTCTACAGCAAATTAAATATAAACACTACACAGACACATTGAGTATTCTTTTATCCCATCATCTGATGTTCTGTTACACAGAAGTTTCAGGAAGCAGCTAAAACGTGGATGTTTGAACAGGCTGCAGCCATCAGTCAGTCAGAAACATCTCTACTCTCAAATCTGGAAGAATTCCTTCCTCTGAGAGAAAATAACCCCTCAGTTAAACTTAAATGACACCCCAGCATCAAGTCTGGCATCCTACCAAATGCAAACTACGTTCTAAATCCCTTGGATGGGATCTTCTGAACCCCAGCACCATTCCAAACAGCACCTGGTTTATGCACAGGTAAGATGATGCTCCTTTTACTCCAGGCTAACTCAGCCATGTTACTCAGGCCTGAAGGTGATGTATTTCTGAGTGCCCCAAAGTGCTTTGCTAGTAGTTCCACAGGCAAGATTCCATGACTGTAGTAATTAAGGCAGTAAAATATTAGGAGAAAGGCATTACACAGTGAGCAAGAATCTGAATATCCCATACAAATACCCTACAAACCAATAAAGAACAATTAGTTCTGGTAACTAAGTGAATGAAAAACCTGCTAGAATAGGCTGAAAGAAAACACTGGAATTGGAATATCATCATTTGTGTGCAAGAGGAAGAATTCCAGATCAGGCCATAATAAAATGATGAGGCAACAGCAGAGGAAGAAGCTTCATTAGGAGAACAATGGGATGAGCTCCAGGAAGCTCCCTAATGGTGAATGCAGGGCAGAATACTTCCATTGAAAAGTAATTATTTCATGTTTATTATAAGGCAAAGCTGTGCATATGAGCAATTACCCCAATAAACTGGAGAGCTGCAGGTTCACAACTCCTGCTAATCCCGTGGCAACCGATTCCTCTGGTCACACTCCTCCTCTCACCACTGCAGCTATTTTTGTATTTTTGTCATGGAATCAGACACATTTCCCTGCCTCACCTCAGCACTAATGGAACATCTTTTAAGTGCATTTCACATTAAGACTTTAAAACCCACTGCTTTTTAAAAGCTGCCTATGGTTAAATTTTTATTGTCATTAAACAAATGACAAACAGGCCTTCAGGATTGCTACTCCAATGAGAGCTCCTGCACTGGGACAAGCCAGAACCAGCTGTGTCCATCTTCTGCATATAATCCTCAATTTCAGCAGTTTCTCTAAAGGCTTTACAGAAAGAACCCTCCCAAAAAGACTCAGTTTAGCTGATGATCTGATATTCAGTCCAATCTCCTCTTTTCTGATGTCCCCTCCTAACAAAACACTTCCTAAGAAGCACCTTTCACTTGATTTTGCACCATTGTCAAAGAAAAATGACCTTTTTTTCTCCCTAGAAGGTTTGGCATTGCTGCTATATCCAACAGCAGCTGCAGACACAACCTGCACAATCTTGCCTCAAATACCCCAGTTTACCAGTCAGGTTTATACTGGAGTCACTGGGAGGAAGGAGAGAATATCAATACTGGCCCAGTGAGAAATCCACTGTGTGGAAAAGGAATTCCAGAGTTAGCCTGAACTCAGGTTGGAATCCAACAAAAACACCCTGAAATTGGAAGTCCTTTAGTCACCAGTTTCTAAAGGAAAAAATATGTGCATATTAATCTACCAAACTCCTACTGCACGGACCAGTTGTAAGAACAAGCCCCTTATTAGGGAGTGAACATGGGAAAAAAAGGCAATTGAGCTAATATGGATTTTTAAACACTAATAAGAAGTCTGATCCAGAAAACTACACTTACAAATTATTAATACAAACACTGTAAGTCTGAATAAAGACAATCCTGTGGAATTCTGTAGCTTTTATGAAAGCAACAGCACTATTATTACAGCCTGCTTCCACCCCCCATCAAAGTCTCAAGTCACTGTTCATTAAAAAATGCTCATTAACTCAGCTCTGCCCTGGCCAGGGGCTGGGCTACTCATGCATCTCCAGCAGAAGAGAAATGCACCAATTAATCCTGCCCACATCTGCAGAGGGGCTGAGCAAGGTCTGCACCAGCAGCCTCATCTTCCAGAAAATCAGAACAAACCCAACAGCTGAGCATTACCACTGCCAGCCCGTGCCTGCCAGCTACTTTATGTCCTAAATTCTTTGAAATGCAGCTCCCAAAGCTCCTCACTGAGCAGGACACAGCAATGCTTTCAGCACATGGATCTGCAGATCTCCAAGAAACAGCACAGGTACCACTAGGTGAGGAAAACTGCCCAACACAGCAGCATGTTGCCTTGTAAAGCTGTAATTAGCAAATACCTGATTTATGCACAGCTGCCCTCACATGAACCTCAACGTTTTGCTTTCAGAACTCAGCTCTGACAAAGAAATCTCACGCAATGCACAGACCTGGCACATCCTCACCCCACAGGCAATGCCCACACTGGAAATAGGAATGAGAAAGGAGGGGATGCCCAGTCTGATGCCATCCCCAGTGCTTTGGTGAGTGAAGATTTTTACTGTTCTTGGGTGATATTATAATTACCAAGCCCATGGAGTCAACAGAAGTGCTGTGGGGGAGCTCAGGTGTGTATGTGAACCGTGTCAGTCACTTCTGGTAGGACCATGACCATGAGCAGGTCACTCTTAAGTGCAAAATTATCTTCCCTATTTATTTTCTGCAGCATCACAAGCCTCACTGTATGAACAATTCAGCTACAAGTGGACTGTAAATCACTTGGGTTTAAAAAGCAATGAGTGCATCAGCAAACTGAGATCTCCCAGTGCACATTTCAAACACAAGAGACAGGTCACAGCCCTAAGAACCAAGTACACAGACCTTACATAGAAATCTTGGCATTTCTGAAATTTCAGCTGAACAATCAGTGTGCTACTTCAGTGATAAAGAGGAGAGACAGAGTAAGAGTTAAAAAAACCTCTAGTCAATAAACTTACATTCCCAAGCACAAGTTGTTCTTAAAAATACCAGTACAACTATGAAAAAAATGACTGAAGTTCTCAAAAAAGAATTATCAGAGCACTCTGCAGACACATTTTCAGAGGCACCAAAGAGACATCAGAAGAAGATGGAAACTTTGAACTTTAGTAATTTAGGCTAGCTCACTAATATTTGCAGCATAAGCCCCAGGTATGTAGAGCAAGAGCTGCTGACCTCAAAAGGTTTGCATTAGACTGATCTAACTTTTATTGGTGCCTACGAGTAATTGCACAAAGGGAAGCGAAAAAAGACTGAGGAAAAAGTTGTGCTGAGAAGCAAATCAGCTGGCACACTTTTAGCACAAAACCTCTTCAGCAGAGAGGCACGAATCTCACAGGAACCTCACTTGCTGCATCCTGCTGTGGTCAAATTAACCTTTTCAGAGCCAGGAACAGAGGAGCTGCACACATGTGAACCTCTACAGCCATTTCTCAGAGCTTTTACTGACAGAAGCCTTGAAGGCATAACAAAAGAAAGACTCTACATGAAATAGTTTTTCCACTGTATCCTAACTGTTTATGTCACAGCGGTACCAGAGCCAGATTTAACAGTTAACCACATCCTGCAGACAAAACATCACTCACATTTCTGAAGTCCAGTGTTCATCTGCGTGTAAGAAAGAAGCTGAAAGGAGAGGTCGCCTGGTCCTGGCAGACAGGCCAGCATGGCAGACAGGCACTAACACAACATGGGGCATTCACTCCTCTGCACACTGCAACAACAGAGAGACAATTCAAAGTTATAATACAAGGAGGAACAGAGAAAAGAAAGAGGCAGAGAGCCATCCCTGGGTGAAGGCCTGACCAAGCACAGATGCGCGACCGCTGCTCCAGCCCTGACTGCATCTCCTAACGGCAACGGAAATACTTCAAAAACTGGGTCATCTGCAGGGTTAAAACCAAAATAGCTGCTGTGCTCTCCTCTGCTGCTTGACACACACAGAATAATCCATAGCTCTGTCCTCACATTTCAAAGGTGGTTGTTATGAATGGTGAGGAAACCACCATCACTCATTTCACTACGCTGAAATGCACTGGTATCCACCAAGGCAACTTGTCTGGAGAAACCCTGTCAACTGTTCTTTTGCACTTAACAAAAAGGCATGGCATGCATAAATTGAAGGCAAAGTATGCAGCACTCTGCCTTGTGGCAAGATTAAACTGCATGCTACAGCTTGTAATTCCTGTGGTCCATTAGGCTGAAAGATGAACGGCTACAACTTCCTTCATTTCAGCAAAGACTTGCTAACCCGAGCTGCTGTGGGGCAGGTAACAGCAAGATGTGCACAGAGGGGCTCCAGAGGTGCCACCACCCTCTTCTGTTTGCTCCAGCATTTAAGAAACCTCGAAATGGAGCACTAAAGCTCTTTGTATATAAACATGCCACAACTCCCCTCAAATCCCACCACTGCTGTGCAAAGAGGGATCCCAGCAACAAGGCTAACTGGGGCTCAAAGCGTCCACTAGAAATGGATGTTACTAGAAATACAGAGATTTAAGCTGGAACAAGATTTCTAGAGGCCATCTGGTCCAAGCCCCTGCTCAAATCCTCCTGGCTGCAGCACTTTAGAAAGTTCTGGGAAACAGGGTGACAGAACCAAGCTGGAGAAATCAATTTTTTTCTCCTTGTCCAGATGTCCACAAGCATCAGTGCTGCCATACAGAGCAAAACATCTAAGGAGCAGCTAGAAAGGCTTTGGGACTTGCTATACGACCTCCAAAACATGGGAAGAGTTGAAGGATTCAAGACTTGTAAGCTGATTTAATTTTAGTCATTGTTTCACAAACCCCAATTAAAACAACTGAGAAAGCACTCAAAGATCAAAAGGGGGAGAAGGAGAAAGCTCCAGCCCAGACATGAGAAGCCACATCTGCCAAAACCTCTAAGAGGCCACTTCTGAAAGAGTCTCACTGCTGAGACGGCACAAACAACGCGATGACAGCGATGTGACACTGTCAGCACTGCCACCTTCATGCTCCAGAAACCTCCCAGAGCAGATTTCAGATTTTTTGAATGCAAAACCTCCCCTGAGCCCAGCAGCACAGGTCAGAGTGCCCATGGAAGCTGGCAGCACTGGGGTGAACAGTGTGGACACGAAGCTTTCCTGCAGCACAGCAATTACTCACTGTGTACAGCTCATTAGCTCCATGTTTATGCATCTCCTCAGCTCAACACGCAAAGGTTGATTAAACCAAGGGCCAAGAAACCTCATACAAATATTAATTTATGAGAGATTCTGCATCTTCACTGAGTGCTGCCCAAAGCTGACCGAGCCTGCTGGGTGCCACTGTGACTAACAGAAATGGTTTTGGGCACTGAGTATCAGTCTGACAATCCAGGCTGGTGCCCATTCACCCTTCCCACGCAGAGTAACACAGACCTGGTGCCGTGAGAAACACACACAGCACCTCAGCAAGGTGCAGGGCTGACAGCACAACCACCAACAAAACACATTTCTACCATTTCCATTTCATTCCTAGGAGACAGCAACAATCTGCACTGCCCAAAGACCAAGATATGTAAAACCTGGTAAAGTAAAGCTAAACATGGATTTTCTTCTGATTCTCTGAAGGAGATGGAATTCTTGGAGTCTTTCAGAAATGATGACTGAAGACCTGTCACATCCACAACATCAAGGAATTGCTTGAGGAACTGCAAAGTTGCTCAGCCTTTATAGACGAGATGCAGTCGTGACTGAGGGTACACAACATTCAGTGAAACTTTGCAAACAGCCTGTGGGCAGCAGCTCCTCGTCCCAAATCATGCCCAGCAAGACCAAAAAGACAAAACAAGAATCCGGCTCCTTTTAATCAGAAGACAAAACCACTGTGAGTTGTCAGAGCTTTACCTGAGTAAGCAACAGAAACACCCACAGTCAGCAAGAAAAAAATAATAATCGTATTTTCCTTTTTTCCTCATTTCATCAACTTCAGAAGGCTGGCACAAACAAGACCTATTTCTCAGTGAAAAACAGACAAACAAAATTAAGAGCCTTCACTGTAGACAGAAAAACAGATCACACTATTCCCATATTCATCTGAGCATCCACCTTTTACTCCAATAACGTTCGACACCAAGCAAGGATTCACTTCCTATCCCTGCAGGCCCAAAGGAGGTCGGTGTCTAAAACATTATTTAATTGATGGTAAGTTTGTGTGCAGCCCTGCAAGAGCCCAGCCGTGCTCTGAGTGAGGGAGCAGCATTTCTGGCAGCGAGATGAGGGGATGCTTTGCTCACCTGCTCCATCATTAACGCTCATTAGAGCCTGAACTGTGACGCTCTCAGAAAGCCTCTTGCTCAAGTGCCCCAGCGAGGTGCACACAGCAATAAACAGGATAATGGCACATTAGGAGAGAGAACAAGTGATTAGGAGTGGTCACAGCATTCACCTCGGAATAGCCAGGCTCCTTGCTACATGACAGCAGTGCTTCCTTGAAGGTTAAAACATGTATTTACAGAAGCTTTAGCTCCAGTACGGAGAGCAATGTTTTAGAGAGAGCTATAAAGGCAAGTTGTTCCTGCAGGCAGATAATCGTTTTAGGTAATGCCAAAGGTTCATAAAAGATTGGGGTGGCAATAATAATTTTAAAGGAAATACTGGATTTACAAGAAATAATTTGAAGTGGAAGCCTAAAATCGCTCTTTCAGCTTGATTTTGCAGTAAACAAATTGGTGACATCTAGGTCACTGCTGAGCATTAGAAAAAGAAATGCAGACTTGTACAGAAATGCTAGCCATAACTCCATTGCTGAATTTCTTATTATAATTTAAATCCTGCTTCAGTTTTTCTTCTCTATGAAATCAATACCGGTTTTCATAATCGAGATCTCAGTATTTGAAAACAAACACATTTGAAATATCTTGACAAGCATCCCTTTTATTTTTTCTAGAAATTAATTAACATTTATTCCCTTTGAGATATTCAGCACCTGGCTACTATTTTCTGACTGACTCTTCCCCAGCATGAGCTGGCATGGACAACTCCAACTCACACCAGGTGAACTGAACTGAAATCCCTGGCACATATTTGGGGTTGAGGTGAGCAGTACTGGCTAAATCAGGATTGGGAGCATCAGCCCCTCCTGCTTGGGTTTATTCCTTCTAATTAGTCCAGAGCTGGAGATAAACTGAACTTGGCACATCAGGACTCCTCACCAGCAGATCTGGCTCCATAGTGGCAACTTGTGTGGGCACCAGCACCTGCAAAAGCTCCAACCCCTCCAAGAATGAACACTGTGCTACTGGGGAACTGGAATGGAGAGGGTTTGCACTGTACCAGGGTCAGTCACACTGTCATCTAAACCAGTCAGCTGCAAACTGGAGAGTGATCTCACCAGTGGGCTGTGGCACCCAGCCATGGAGGGCTGTGAACCATGAAAACTTCAGTTTTTAAAGTGCATTTTAAACAGATTCTGTGCACTGGCAAACGCAGCACAGCGAGCTCTGTCTTGAAAAAATATATATATAAAAAAAGATAAAGCATATCTCTAGAGGAAAACAATCATTAGATTGGAATAAATAAATAAATACCTCTCTTTGAAGTGATTTTAATCTAATCTGGCTGCGGGATATAATCTTAACAGCACACGTACTGCAGGATGCTCCACAAAATAGCAGGTTTAGACATGTGAACAGATTTTTTTTCTCCTAAGATTTATTAATAATTAAATCAAAGCATGTTAAGCTTAAGAGGGATTTGCAGTGCTTGGGATTTGGGGGTAACTGGCACATCTCCACAATGACTATTACCTTCAGCCTTACTTGCACATCAGGATGTTTTCTGGTCCAGGCAGCACAGTGTCCCCTGTCACCACAAGGCTCACCAGGATGGAAGAACCACTGCCCAGGGATTTCCCTGCAGAGCTAGGAATCAGTTCCAGCAGAACTTACCACAATATTGCCTTTCTTGCCTTAAAAATTTAACATTTTCTGAATTATATTCAACATTTAGTATTTATTGCCTCTGTGCTTCTCAGACCAGGTGGTACTTTTACAACCTAGAGTAAAATCTAGATGTAAAGAAACTACTAGGAAATTTCTAACACAGTTTTACCATCACATAAATGGACCACATATACAGTTATTGCTAAGTTGTTAGATACACCAGCCTCTGAAGCTCCTGAGAGGCCTTACAGGGTGAGAACACAAAGGAAACAACTCCCCTCAAACCACCCCTGGCCACTGAAAACATGGGAAACCGAGCTGGTAAAGTCTAAAGTTAGGTTCCTGAAAGTAAACACACATGTTTGAAATTCCACGATTAACCGTGGGCTTGTTCACAAAGCCCCGAGGCCAGGAGGAAGCGCAGGGGGAGCATCCACCCACACACAAAAGAAAAAACTCCAAACTATTCCAAGTTTCCAGCACCCTGGGGTCCCGAAAGCCTCTGTGCGAGGGTTGTTAGAGGCTGCTGGGCTTTGCTCCTCCTCTGCTCTTCAGTCACAAGGCACTTCCATGAAGCTCCATCCCCACCCTGAAGTTCCAGGGATTTAGGGCAGCCCCCGAGCAGCACATGCCAAGTTCAGAGCACATCAATGCTGCAGGCAACAACAAAAACTAACCCGGGCTGGGAAGTTTCTTTGGTACAAATGTCTGCAAGAGCTTGCCAGGAAACGTAATTGAATCCTGGCCAATTTTCATGCTCCGAGGGAAACTCAGTGTCTCATTTACCCCCCGGCAGGCTGCTCAACACCAAGGAGAATAATTCCTTTT